GGAAAGTCACACTGACTTCTCTCTCTCTCTTTCCCCCACCCCATAATCAGAATGTCATCCATTTCTATTGGTTCTACCAACAAAATTCCCACTCATCTCTCTTCTTGCTTCTTTTCTAGCTCAAGCTCTCATAATTATTTCTTGCAAGGATTATTGCACAGATCTTAAAAACTTCCATTCTCTCTCCCCTTCTAACTATCCTGTATATTGTTTTTTGAGTGATCTTTCTAAAACAAGTTTATCCATCTGTCTATCTATTGTCTACTTTGTGCCAGGCACTGTTCTAGGTGTTTGAGATTCAGCAATAAACAAAACAGATAAAGATGCCCTCATGAAGCTTACGTTTTAGTAGAGGGAGACAAAGAATAAATGATATACAAAGTAAATGAGTACATTATGAAAATATATCAGAAGGTGATAAACATCATGGAAAAAGGAAAAAGTAGAGCAGAGTAAGAGGGATTGAGAGTGTTAATGTGGGGAGGGGGATGGCTGGCCAGGACTCAGATTTATTGATCAGAAAGTTCATTAAATGAGAAGATAACACTTAAGCCAAGAAGAAGAAGGGAGTTGGCCATGAAGATCTGAGCATAGAGAATTTTAAGAGGTATGGCTGAATTGAAGATATGTGGTAGGAGCCCTACCATCATGTTCCAGAAACAGAAAGGAGGCCAGTGACTTTGGAACAAAATGAGCCACTGTAGACAGCAATGGGATCAGAGAGGACTGCAAGGACTTTGGTGTTCACTTTGTATCATGAGACAACAAGTTTTTGAACAGAGGAGTGACATAATCTGACTTAAGTGTTTAAAAAGACCACTCTGTTGTACTGAGAGTAGATTATTGGCCGGGTGTGGTGGCTCATTCCTGTAATTCCAGCACTTTGGGAGGCCAAGGTGGAAGATCACTTGAGGTCAGGAGTTCGGGAATAGATTATTGGAGGAGGGGATGGAGAGGGAGAAGGAAGGGTAGAAGTAGGTGGCCCAGTTAGGAAGCTATATTGCAGGCAAGAGGTGATGGAGGTTTCTACAAGGGTAACAATGGTGAATGACTCTGTTATAATATATTTTGAAAGCAGATCCAACAGGATTTGATGTACGATATGAGAGCAAGAGAGAAGTCAAAGATAACATCATGGCATTTGGGGCTAAGGAAAGGAAAGATGGAACACACTGCCATTAGCTGAAATGAGAGACTGAGAGAAGAGCTATGTGGAGTTTGCAGGGGGGTCAGGAGTTTGGTTTTAGAATAATAAGCTTGAGATGTGCATCTAAGTGAGAATGCCAAGTAAGCAGCTGGATATATACACCTGCAGTTCAGGCAGGTCTGGCCTGAAGATATGATAAAAAATGCAATAATTGCATACGTGCAGGCACTGTGCTAAGCATTCTACATATGTAACTTATTTAATCCTCACAACAACCCCAAGAGGTAGCAGGAAATATTATCATCTCTTATTTCACAGGTTGGGAAACTGAACCACATAGAGGTTAAGGAACTTACCTGAGGTCACGAGAATAGTTTGTGGAAGAGCCATGATTTGAATGCAGGAATATAAGTGCCAGAATGGATGCTTTGAGCTACAATGCTACAGCCCAGGTAATATTAATAAACTCAGGAGTCTTTAGCATGTGAATGATATTTAGTTATGAGTCCAGGTGAGACCACCAAGGGAATATAACAGAGAAAAGAGAGTCTGAGGAATTTGTTTAAAAGTAATATGGAGTGGATGGAGGGAAGTAGGTAGGAGAATAGATGAATAAGGTTGGCTCTAAGTAGATAAATACTGAAGCTGGGAAATGGGCACAAGGAGTTTCATTATACTTTGCTGTCTAATATGTGTATGGCTAAAATTTTGCATAATGACAGGAGAAAAACGAAGACAGAGGGATGAGGAGGAACTATTAAAGGAGGCCAAGAAAGAGCGCCACTGAAACAGGAACAAAACCAGGAGCATGCTATCCTGGAAATCAAGTGTCCCGATTGTCTATTGCTGCATAACACACCCCCAAAAATCTATGGCTTAAAAATATAACAATTATACACAGTATAGAGATTCCTCAAAAAACTAAAAGTAGAACTGCCATATGATCCAGCAATCCAACTTCTGGGTTTATATCCAAAGGGATTGAAATCAATATGTCAAAGAGATACCTGCACTCTCATGTTCATCACAGCACTATTCACACTAACCAAATTATGGAATCAACCTAAATGTCCATCAATAGATGAATGGATAAAGAAAATGTGGTACATAGACACAATGGAATACAATTCAGCCTTTAAAAAGAAGGAAATCCTGTCATTTGCAACAACATGGATGAAACCAGAGGACATTATGCTAGACGAAATAAGCCAGGCACAGAAAGACAAATGCTGCTTGATGTCATGTATATGTGGAATCTAAAAAAATCAAACTCATTGAAGTAGAAGAGCAGAATGGTGGTTACCAGAGGCAGGGGGTGGAGAGAGGGGAAATGGAGCTGCCAGTCAAAGGGTACCAAGTATCAGTTATACAGAAGGAATAAGTTCTGGAGGTCTATTGTGCAGCATGACCACTATAGTTAATAATAATGTATTGTATTCTTGAAAATTGCTAAGAGAATAGATTTTAAATGTTCATACCACCAAAAAAATAAATACATGAGATGATAGATATGTTAATTAGCTTGATTTAATCTATAATGTATACATATACCAAAACATCACAGTTGTCCTCCCTAAATATTATTTGTCGATTAAAATTTTTATCTAAAAATAACCACCATTTATTTTATTCAGAAATCTGCAATTTAAGCAGGGCTCAGCAGGGACCTGTCATCTCTGCTCCTGTAGCATTGACCATCAACTGGGGTGACTCTCCTGGGCCTGAGGACGCCTCTCTAAAGTGGTTCATGTATGTGGCTGGCAGACATCAGCTGGGGGCTCAGCCAGGGCAGGCCTATCTCTAATCTTCGGTTAATCCCCAGATTGACTAAAGATAAGTAGTGCAAACAAGAATTACTTGAAACTTCTCCAAGCATGTGCCTTACTCTCAACTGACAAATGACCCTTCAGAGAACACTAAGAAAGGTTCCTCTCATGCTGGGACTGTTTCCTTTACAGCAATGACAGGAAGTGAGGAGAAAACATTTGTTATTTAGGTATTTGTCAATGCCAGGAGAGCCCCCTGAACTTTACAGCAAAAAAACAAACAAACAAAAAACTCTGAATGTGTTGTTGTTTCTTTTCTAATAAATTTCATTATGTATATTTGGGGCTTAGGATATATTATGGGACACATATAGATAGTAAAATTGTTACTATAGTGAAACCAATACATATCTATCATCTCATGTAGTTACTCTGCATGTGTGTGACAAGAGCAGCTAAAATCTACTTAACAAAAATCCCTAATACAATTTTATTAACTATAGTCCTCATGTATCACATGATCTCTAGACTTGTTCATCCTATGTATCTGCTATTTTGTATCCTTTGATCTGTATCTCTCCATTCTCCCCACCCCTCACCCATAGTAATTGCTGTATCATCCTCTATCTCTGTATATTTCAGCTTGAGCTTCTTTTTTGTTGTTTCACATATAAAATAGAGCATACAATATTTTTCTTTCTGTGTCTAGCTTATTTTACTTAGCGTAATGTCCTCAAGCTTCAACCATATTGTGGCAAATGGCAGGACCTCTTTTTAAAGACTGAATAATATTCCAACAACAAATAATATTCCATTGTATGTACACACACATATATATACACACAATGCAATATTATTTATTTACACACATATACACTAAAGTTTGTATTATGGTGTGTGTGTGTGTGTATATATATATATGCTTCTGTTATGGTATGTATACATTTATATTGTGGTGCATCTGTGGTGTGTGTGTTTATATATATGTATATACATTGTAATTCCTTTATCCTTTCGTCCATCTTTGGGTGTTTGGGTTGTTTCCACATCTTAGCTACTGTGAATAATGCTGCAATGAACATGAGAGTACAGATATATTTACGAGGTAGTGATTTCATCTCCTTTGGGTATATACCCAGAAGAGGAATTGCTGGATCATATGGTAGTTCTATTTTTAATTTCTTCAGAAACCTCCATACTGTTTTCTGTAATGGCTGTACCAAAAGACATCTGAATTTTATGGATACCTTTTAGTCACAGCTCCTTCTTGGAACGTCTCCTTTGTAAAATACTTTAAATAGCTGCAAGAAGATCAGAGAGAGGTTGAAAACATGCATACAAATTCTTGTGTCTCTGACAGAGAAAAAGCAAATAGCAGAGATTAGTTTTTCCCTAATCTTGTTCTTCTTTTTTTTTTTTTTTTTTTTTGAGACAGAGTCTCACTCTGTCGCCCAGGCTGGAGTGCAGTGGCTCGTTCTCCGCTCACTGCAAGCTCCGCCTCCCGGGGTTCACGCCATTCTCCTGCCTCAGCCTTCCGAGTAGCTGGAACTACAGGCACCTGCCACCACGCCCGGCTAATTTTTTGTATTTTTAGTAGAGACGGGGTTTCATTGTGTTAGCCAAGATGGTCTCGATCTCCTGACCTCGTGATCCGCCCGCCTCGGCTTCCCAAAGTGCTGGGATTACAGGCGTGAGCCACCGCGCCCAGCTTTTCCCTAATCTTCTTACTCATGATTCGTAATAGTTCTGTTCATGGGCTTTTCGAAGGTCATCACCATAGGCAGGCTAGCAGTTGTTCCTCATCAGCATCCTAAGGTAGTGACTACCACTGAAGCCTATCAAAGTTCATGGAGAGTTTTTAACACCAAGACCGGAATTCCAAAATGCTTTGACACTTTACATCAGGGAAGAGATTGGCGTGCCAGGGCTATGTCTCCCCCACTGTATGCCTGACAAGTACAGAAAGCTGGGGGCAGCTGTTCTCAACTCCCCTGAAGATGCTGAGACATGCCACTGAACATGCAGAGACCGCAGGGCTGTTGCAGAGGAACCAACGAGGAAACAATTAAAAAACACATAAGGAGAACTGAAAGACAAGTTTCATCTTTATTTGCCTGTTTTTGCTAACTCAAAAGTTCAAGGGGTGCCTGAAGCCATTAGATGTGACAGAGTACATGTTTTGATCATGGTGCAGTAGTTCTGCATGTTTTACCTTTGCCTGTGTTTTACTATTTGAGAATGGATTTGAACAAGTCGGCTTGTCTCTGCGGTGAAAGCCCTCAGGGCATCATCCTCACCATGACCAAAGCCACTGACTAAGACTTGAAGTGTTTCTCAAACACTCAAAGAACTGAAGTCGGTCTCAGAGGCCGGCATCCTTTCATCCTCTGCCTCCCACTGATGTAACTTAGTCAGATCACAGGTGTGCTAACAAGTCACTTGAAAGCAAACTCTTTTTGCCACCAATATAAACATACTCCGAGTTTTTTTTTTTTTTTTCCTTCACTGCTCCCATCACTTATTAGTTTACCACCATCTTCTTGGCTTCTAGGAGATCTGTCTCCTAATTTTTCTTGATTTCTCTGGTTGCCCTTCCTCATTCTCCTCACAGACTCTTCGTCACTTCATACACCTCCACCTCCTCATCAAGACACTTCTCTCTTCATTCTTCCAGCTCATCCTCCCTCATGGTCTAAGATGATCCTGCTCCCCCTTGACCATCCCTGTGGTAATAGAAACAGTGATCATAGCAGCAGCAGCTACACAGAGTAACAGCACCCATGGAAGCCGTAAGTGACAGCACACCAACACAGTCTTTCACCCCAGTTTCTGTAGTGGCCTTCTACAACATTCCCCAGTCCATGATCTTGCCCCTTCCTATTGCATCTTTCACACTGTTGCCTTCATAATTTTTCAAAAATAGAAATTCCATCATGCCACTCCCTACTTTCAATCTTTTAATGGCCCCAGTGGTTTTGGGGCCATTAAAATCTAAATTGGGGATAAAAATATAAATTCTTAATATGGTATTAAAGCCTGTTCCACCTGGACCTGTCTACCTCGGCCCTCACAGGTGCCCTTCACCATCCCCATCCCAAACAACTTGCATTTTAGCACATACACTATGCTATTTCTCATCTCTGTCTTGGAACCCCTTCTCCTTGCCTCATACAGGACACCCAACTCTCATGTGTCCACAAGCAACTGATGTTTCCTCTTCAGAAAGAAAACTCTCATTCTTCAGGCTAGAGCAGGTGCCTTTCGGGCGTGTTTTCTCTATCACAGCACATTACAACAATAATGCTCATTTTGCTGTTTGTTAATTTTTTCATATCCCTCTTCCTGTGTGCCTAGTACTCAACTGCAAGCATGTTTGAGATACTCAATAAGTACTGCATGAATCAATTATAGCTCAACCATGGATCAATATGTACACTGCTTTTCTTTTGTCAGTTCTGACTTGCTTCACTTCCACAAGTTGCTCCTGTTCTAGCAAGACAGACAGAAAAGTAAGCAGATACGCCTAGTATAATAATCTCAGAGGACTCATGGGCCCTCTAGGCTCATCCAGAAATCCCATACTAACAACTATAAACAATGAGGAAATGGACACACACAGGACAAATCAGAGAACATCATTCTTTAGTAACATATAATGTCAGAGCCTTGTCAGAGCATTTGCATTTATTTGTTTATTCTGAGATAGACAGGGTCTCACTCTATCACCCAGGCTGGTGTGCAGTGGCACAATCACAGCTCGTTACAGCTTCGAACTCCTGGACTCAGAGATCCTCCCACTTCAGCCTCCCAAGTAGCTGGGACTACACGTGTACACCCCCATGTCTGACTAATTTTTTTAATTTTTTGTAGAGATGGGGGTCTCCCCATGTTGTCCATGCTGACCTCAAATTCATGGGCTCAAGCCCACCTTGGCTTTCCAAAGCACTGGGATTACAGGTATGAGCCAACGTGCCAGCCCTACAGCATTTGCTTTATAAAACAAGGCTGAAGAGTGCAGAGCCATACTTGCCCTCCACGATGGTCTGTAGCCCAGTAGGCAGCACCTTTGGATAAAGTTCACTTAGCCAGTTTTGAATCCACCTAATCAAGGGCATGGTGAGATACTTGGTAAAATGCTTTGTGGTAATCCTTTGTTTTACTCTGATATACCAATCGCATAAACTTTAACAAAAAATTTTTCTGCCTAGCTTTTTATTTCTCTTGACTCAAGAGTCTCTTTCCTGGGGTCCTCTGTGGTCCACAATTTCCTTGGGAAGTTTCCATCCTGTCTTTCTCATCTTGCCACCTTCAATCGGTTCCTCTTCTGCTGCTCCCAGCCCTACTTTCAACAATTTAATTCACAGAGTATGGACCCTCATTTCAGCACCTGCCCTTGGCTCTGTTCACCACTTTCTTTAATTTCATGCCTTTCCTACCATGTTGAGCATTTTTGCCTCATCTCTCCTACCCCTCCCTAGACCAGGCTCTAGCATTGGCTGGCCTTTTTCATCTTCTACTGTGAAAGCACCTGATCTGGTCACCACCCTGTGGTACCCAGGCAGCAGCCTCTAGTTTACCCTGAAATGTCATCACCAAAATGCACACTGACTTCACAACTATGACATTGACTATAGTAAAAAGAGTGTAACAGCAACACACAGCACTGGGGTCAGGGTTTCTACATCTCATTTCTCTTTGCAACTGGTACCACCCCTGTATGAGTTAACTGGCTTGATTGTTTAGAGCCATAGTTCTTAAGCTTCTTGTGAGCTGCAGAACCCCTTACTCAGATAAACTCTTAGTGTTAGCAAATAACATTTAAAGCGCTGACTGGTTCTGGCTGATGTGGATGTAGAAGTCCAGAGCCTCCTTTGCCTCTCATTCTCATGACCCTTAGGGATTCTGCAGAGCCCCAAGATTTGAAAAGCACTGGGGGAGGGTACATTTTTTTTTTTTTTTTTTTTGTGAGACGGAGTTTCACTCTCGTTGCCCAGGCTGGAGTGCAGTGGCGCGATCTCAGCTCACTGCAACTGGGGGAGGGTACATTCTAATGAAGCCCATATGGCAAGCTCCACACCATTCAGGTTTTGCCATAGGCTATGCAATATCCCAGAAAGCAATGTGACTTCCTAGTTATGTGGATAGATCCTAGGAAGGACTGACAGGTTCAAAACCCCATTCCCCCAGTCACTAGCTAAGGCTGATTGGACAATTTACCTAACCTCTCTGTGCCTGAGTTTTCTCATCTGTTGAACAGTGATTATAATGGTTCCTGTCCCTTTGTTTGTTAAGAATATTAAATGAGTTCACAGCAGAAAGGGCTTAGAAGAATACCTGGCCAGGCATGGTGGCTCACGCCTGTAATCCCAGCACTTTGGGAGGCTGAGGTGGGCAGATTACCTGAGGTCAGGAGTTTGAGACCAGCCTGGCCAACATGGTGAAACCTCGTCTCTACTAAAACTACAAAAATTAGCTGGGCATGGTAGCACACGCCTGTAATCCCGGCTACTTGGGAGGCTGAGGCAGGAGAATTGCTTGAGCCCCGGAGACAGAGGCTGCAGTGAGCCGAGATTATCGCGCCACTATACTCCAGCCTGGCCGGAAAAGTGAGACTCTGTGTCAGAAAAAAAAGAATGCCTAGCTGATCTAGAGAGGTGGTAGATAAATGTTTGCTTATTATCTTCTAAAACCATATACTGTCCTTAAGGAAGACCCAGGGACACAGTGTAAGTGACTCAGCACAGTCTTCCATTACCACAGAACACACCCTGTGGTGGGAGTCAGCACAGTTCTCCTTCTACATGGGGTGTGGCAGACTGGTCCTTTGCAAACTGTGTCTTAGAGTACATAAAGTGGTAGCTCAAGGTCCTAAAAAGGGACATTGACTTCATCCAATAGAATGGCTGACTCCACAAAGGAGTTTATTTCCCAAAGTCTACTACAGATTTAGGTAAAGTGAAAGATTATACACAGTGCACAGCTTTTCAATGGAAATGGACTGGGCCATTTGATTAGACTTGTAAATCTAAGGTTAATTGGGAGTTGAGCATTGTAATTCCAGGAAATAGGTTACAGGCATGTTTGTATGTTTCTGAATCTGTCCCCTGTTTATAGCTGCAAATATATGCCATTAATTTATGATTTTCTTTCTACAGGCTTCACCAGGGTAAACATAAATAAAGAGATTAGTCATTAAATCCAGAAGGAATTTGAGAGCAGGGCATAAAATTTAAAGAAGGTTATACCCTGAAAAAAAAATGATGTGAGAATTAAAGGCAACAGAAAATTAGCTGCTAAATCTTTGGGATAATGCAGTTTTACAGGTTGTTTTTAATAATACTTGCTATATTGTACTTTAATCTGTGATCCTGCAAGTTAAGCTAAGAAACTCCCAAGGGAAGAAGGGTAGAGGCCTAAGTAGGGTAAATAGATCTTTCCTAGAAAAACCTTTTCTTTTCTGAGTTTGTGTTTCCTTTATTACTTTTTGCTTATCAAACCTACAGGGAATGTATAAAGTGTAGGTATGGACTCTACTTCCAGAATGCCTACTTTCCCAACTAAAATCTGGAATGAGAAGAAAGCTTGGAACTGTGATTCTTAAGGCTCAGCCCAAATCAGATCCCTTCCCAGCCAGCACAGGAAGTGTAGGAACAGCTTTCTCAGCAGCTTCATGTACATGACCTTGATGAAAGAGGAAGGAACTGGTAATGATATGGTCCATGATACCTTATCCTCAGTTCCAAAATCCCAAAAGCCCTGCAACCAAAAGTTTTTCACATATTTGACACAAAAACTCCATAGGTGGCCAAAATCTGACCTTTCTGACATGAGGTTCTGCATAGTCGCTACTGACCTGAGGATGATGATTCATATATGTTGCGATCAAAATATTAATGTATTTGCTTATGAGGTGCTGACCCAGACTCTACTAGAAATACTACATATGCAATATATACCATTTTACCTTTCTAACATCTGCAAAGTTCTGAAACCCCAAACCTGTCTGGTGGCCGTGTCCTAAGTGATTTGAGGTGAGAAGAGGTCTGAGAAGACAGGAGCCCACTGTGGCTCTGCAGAAGGAAAGTGACAGCAGATCTAGAAGGATGGTGTACTTCAGATGAACAGGAACTCAAAGGGAGCTGTCAGGGGCATCCATTTCAGCCTGAGGAGCAGGAAACCAGTGCGATGCATGACACACCAGTCACCAGCCACACTCCTTAACTGACTGCCCATGCCTGCCTGCTGGTACTAGCTGAGGCCCAGGTAAGCACAGAACGGGAGATATTGCCACACCTACCCTCCCAGAATCTTCATCTCAGGACCCACGGCAGTATTTTTGCAAGCATCTTTCTTCATTTTTTCTTCTCTTTCACCATCTCTCTACTTCAGTTTCTCTTCCATTCTTCCAAATTCCACACTACTGTCACTCGGAATTCACTGGTGGTGATGGAAAGTCTAGGAAACCTGAAAAGAGCAAAATAAGTTTCTACCCTGGTTATACCTTTTATTATTATCATTATTCCAGATTCAGACTGCCTGGGTTCAACGTGTGACTCTACCACTTTCTAGCTATGTGACTATAAACAAATTATTTCATCTCTTTTTGACTTAATTTCCTTATCCATAAAATATGGATAATAGTACCTACCCTATACAGTTGTCGAGAGGATTAAATGAGTTAATAATATTAATATTACTATTTGAGCTAATATTAAATGAGCAAATATTATTATTAGCTAATAGAAAGTGCTTGGCATATAGTGAGTGCTTCGTAAACATAAGCTGCTATCATTTTTATATGTGTCTGTAACTGTCTTCTAAATAAATTTCATACACTAACAATGTGGTTTTTTTCCTGTAGAATTCTTTACATCCATTTCTTAAGACGGTATCATAATGGCATTTGATGGTCAATAATTACTTGGTAAAGATGAAGATAAAGGAGAAGGCAGCAAAGAGATAGATGCACAATCAAAACCTGAGTATAAAGTTCCAACATTGCTTTCATGATATTGCCTACTATAACATTCTGGTGGTGTGCATAGTTTCTCCCTCTCCTCTTTCCTCCTCTAGCTAATTTGTTTTGAAAGCTAAAAAATAAAATGAAAAAAGGGTAATGGAACATTTGATATATAAATTTGAAATAAAACTATCAAGCAGAGACAAATCTTTGAGATAGTTCATATTATATTCACATTTTTCTTTTCAGATTACCTATAAACACTAACGTAAATAAAGTAATAATTGCATTGTCCAGCTAATAACACACTGAGAAGAGTTAATTCTGCATTAAAACTGAAGCCCAATTATTTATGTATGGCAACTAGAAATCTTTCCAATTATATATCCTTCCCTGATACCCCACAAACTGTCCTAGAAGTCACACCTTGGAGTAGATGTCTCCTGACCTTCCCCAAGACATTTAGAGTAATGCCTGTCCAAATTGGCATTGTGGGCCATCTCTACCAGTTAAATCATAAACTTCATGTACATTTTTAATGTCCCCACCTCGAGAATCCATGGTTGTACTGGGAAGGCTGGGAACCCTATATACTCATCCACTCCTCTCTCGCCTACTCTGACTACGGAATTAATGTTAAGACTGATATGACTTTTTTTTTTCAGGGTCAGCCCTAAATGGACCAATCCATATCTGTCTCAGTCAAATTCACCTTCACCCTACTTTATTTATCAAAAAAGTATTCACTAAAAACATGTCCAATTTAAGGAGAAAAAAAGAATCACAGCTAAATGTGGGTTTAAAGCTGGAGAGACTTCAGATTGAAAAACTGCCAGTTCTTACTGCTCACTTACTCACATGAGGGTTTACAGCTCCTGAAATCATGCCAGGGCTTTGAAAATGAAAGCTTGCAGTTAGAAAACGATGGCTCATGACAGCAAGGATCAGTCATGTGACAGGCCAAGCGTTTTCCGTCACTGCTTCCCTCAATCAGACAGAGCTCAGAAATGGAGGTTAATCGGTCAGATAGCATCCACAGAGGCTGAGGGCAGCAGAATCCAGCCACAGCAATTAATCATTTAATTGCTTTCTGATTCACTTTAAATGTCTTTTAAAAAGATATTAAAGAAAAACACTATTGAAAGGACATTTTAGACTATTTAATAAAGATCCAATATGCCCTTTGTGAACCAGAAAATAAATGGATCTCTAGCCCAACTCTGTTCAATGTTTTCTTGGGCAACATTTACTTATACAGAGGAAAGCGTGACAGTCTCTGCTCCCGGCAGGAGAAATAGCACATATAAAAGCACTTAGGAAAGAAAGCACGGGTATAATAAAAATGGTTTTTTGTTTTGGGGTTTTTGTCTGTTTTTTTGGCTAAAGAGCAGGATGTGTGAGGGGTGGAGAGGAAAGCCTGGAAACCTAGCAGTCTACATTTTAGAGGACCCAGAAGCCAAGATAAGGAGCCCAGACTTGATCTATTAGGCAATGGGAGCCACTGAAGGATTCTGAGCAGAGAAAGCAGCATGGTTAAGTAATAGCAGGAACTGAGGGACCCAGCAGCCCTGGGTTCTCATTCCAGTTTTGCCCCTCGTTAGCTGGCATGAATGTGGGCACGTTATGTACCTTCTTTTGGTGCCTTCTAAACTTGTACAATGGAGGTCATAATACCATTTCCAGGGTTATTGCAAACATTACAAACAACGTATGTGACATAGCAACCTCAGGGCCTGAAAAGGTCACAGAAAGGGTTAGAAAGGGTTAGAAAGAAACCCTGGCATAGAAAGGGTTCCTATTAAATGGTGTTAGCAGTTACTACTGCTGTGCTCTGGGTAGGAAGATTGAAAGGGAAGAGATGGGAGGAAGGAGAGCTTGGAGGTCCAGGCAAGAATGGAATGGACAGAGTACAGGCAAGGAGGGTGGCAAAGAGAAACGAGATCGAACAAAGGCAGGATCCAAAAAAATGGAGGTCGAGAAAGACTAACTTGCACAAAGCCATTTGACAATGACTGGACGTGAGCAAGGGAGGAAGAGAAGCTGCAGAGACTCCAAGGAAAGGCTGAAGTATCACACAAATCAGAAAGAACAAACTTGGCGGGCGGTGGCTCAAGCCTGTAATCCCAGCACTTTGGGAGGCCGAGACGGGGATCACTAGTCAGGAGATCGAGATTGCGAACACGGTGAAAGTTCTACTAAAAAATAAAAAAACTAGGGCGAGGGGGGGGGGAGGGGGGGGGGGAGGGAAAGGGGCGGAGCAGGACTGAATCACACCGGGCGAAAATCTTCAAAAAAAAAAAAAAAAAAAAAAAAAAAAATCACAAAATAAACAGTTATGTCAATAAATGCCAAACTGAGCCTGGATTTCTGGAATGACTACGGAAATAACCCAAACCATATTTATTTTCCCATCTGAATTCTTAATAATAATAGTAACTTTCAAATCTGCAGAGTCAGATGATTTGGGTTATATCATTACTCAGCATCATATACCAGGCAGCTTCTTCTCCCCACACACCTTTGCCAGGGCTCACTTCTTCACCTCACCTCCACTATGGAAGTCTGGCCATTTCCTGGGGCACTTCAACCAGCTTCATTGTCCTCACTCACTTTCCAGGCCTGTCAGCACACACGACTGCTGATGCTTTCCTCAGCCTGTGACTGCCTTCCCCACAAAACTCACGTTCACAGATAACAGGTAGAGAAATACCTGGGACTTCAGAACAGCAGTGCAGCAACTAATAACTCATCGCGCCTGACATTTTCATTAGGTGCTGTGTTAGAAGTGTCCTCAAGAAGCAGCTTTAGTAATTTTGTACCACTCTGCTCAGAGGAGATTAATATGACTTACACAGAGGGGCCTAGCCCCTCGCCCAGCACAAGCTTCCATCCTCCTCCAAGTCAGCTGTGGGTTTCAGCCCTGTCAGCTCCATGTAATTCACAAAGGAATCAGTCCACAGATACTGCCCAGCCATGCACGTGCCTGCCAGGACACTCAGGGGAAACTTTACAGTGTGTATAAATAAGCTTTAATATTGTAGTATACCTTTTGGGATGCATGTCTAATTTATTAGAACATGCAGAAGAGCTGACAAACCACTTTGCACCTTTTCGGCAGCCTCTGCTTTGCACGGCTGTCCTGGTGAAACACAGGACCTGGGCTCCTGTCTTCTTCTTCCACTAAAGTTGTTGTTTTTCTTGAACATCTCTGAGAAAACACTGAATATAGTTTGACTTTGTTCCATCATTTATTCCAGGCCAAATGTCCTGCTGACTTATCTTTAATGAATAAGATTGTACTGACAGTGCAACCTGCCCAACTCCAGAGTAACAACACAAAATACAGTGTTTTGTAGGTATTAAAATGTTTTATGCTTTACAAAGGGAAGTGGGATGTGGGGAGGTGATGACAGCATGAGGCCAAAGGTGGTTCACAAGTCAACTCTTCCTAGACGGGAAAGTCTTCCTTCTGAATTCTGCACAGGAAATATTATATTCCTTATCCAGCAGCCCTGGGCACAGGGAAGCGAAGACCCAGCTCCTGCATGGCCAACTCGCCAATGGTGTGCCAGTCTTACTTTTTTTTTTTTTTTTTTGAGATGGAGTCTCACTCCGTTGCCAGGCTAGAGTGCAGCGGCACAATCCCAGCTCACCGTAACCTCCGCCTCCTGGGTTCAAGGGTTCGAGCAATTCTCCTGACTCAGCCTCCAGAGTAGCTGGAACTACAGGTACACACTACCATGCCCAGCCAATTTTTTTTTTTTTTTTTTGTATTTTTAGTAGAGATGAGGTTTCACCATGCTGGCCAGGATGGTCTCCATCTCTTGACCTCGTGATCCACCCGCCTCGGCCTCCCAAAGTGCTGGGATTACAAGCGTGAGCCACCATGCCCGGCCCGGTCTTACTCTTTACCCTTGTTTCAGATGAACGGAGACTGACAGCTATGGGTAAGTTTTCTACTTTTTGATCTCTGTGTGTCACAGTAATATTAATGATAAAAAATCTAATATTCATTGAGTGCTACTATTTCTATTTTACTCCTTTGCCACCACCTTATGAGATAAGGTGTTATTATTACTCACACTTAACAGATGAAGAAACTGGGCTTCAGAGAGTATATTAGTCAAAGTTCTCCAGAGAAACAGAACCAATAGAATGGATGGATGGATAGATGGATGGATAGATAGATAGATAGATAGATAGATAGATAGATAGATAGATAGACAGACAGACAGACAAGAGCAGGGTTATTATGGAAACTGGGTCATGTGATTATGGAGGCTGAGAAGCCCACGATAGGTAGTCTGCAAGCTGGAGAACCAGAGGAGTCAGTGGTATAGCTCAGTCCAAGTCCCAAGGCCTCAGAACCAGTGAAGACAATGATGTAACTCTTGATCAGAGGCCAAAGGCCTGAGAACCTCGGGGCTGCCTGTTCAAAACTCCCAGAGTCTGAAGGCCAGAGACCCTGAAGTCCTCATGTACAAGGCAGGAGAAGCTCTGGAAG